TCAACAAATCTAAAAATTCTTTGAGAATAATTTCAAAAGGAACTAACTTTTTAGGAAAACATACACCAGAAAAAAATGACTGTACAATTACAGTGCAAAACAAAGAAAAAAATCTTGTAATTTTTTCTTTAGTGGATCCCCAAATCATTATATTATTATGATATTATTTGATATGATATTATATATTATGGTAGACAATAATGAAAGTCCTGGGAGGAGAGAGTCTTTCCAAGAGATCTATGCAAATGAAAAGGTCTCAATTTTATCTCAGATGAGCCCCCATATGTAGTGATACCCTGGACTTATTTTCCAGAGCAAGGCCAAACTACATTTCTCCTCAGGGTTTTAGGGGCACCCTTGAGGGGCACCCAAGAGTGTTTTTCTATAATGCTATTGGCTCAAGCTCTCATTTTAGGATGTTCCTTTAACTGTTAACTGCCAGTAATTAGCATCCCAGTTTCATTTAACCAATTAACATCAATTGGCTTTTACAAAGGGATATTACTTCAAAGATATAGCAAGAACAGAAGCACAAATATTTCCCCCTAATACCTGAATGGCATACTCTCCCCATAACCTCTCAGCCATTGGGGAGAGTGAGCTCAAATTTAAAGGAGTTTCTATGTAGCATTTGCTTTACCAAGTTCACTTACAAAGGCAACAAGGTTGGATGAATCTGCGCCTCTGCTACTGTGGGCCTAGGTCAAGCAAGTCCCTTAGGATTTCATGCCTTACCATCTGGCTTCAGTCAAATCTCTTCATTGACTCTTGTTCTCAGAATTCTGGTTGTTTACTTTCCTGACCGTTCAAAGCTCCATAAGGTTGTAGCCATCTCCAGTCTCCTTCACCAAAAAGAAAGAACTAACAGATGCAATAGAAACAGAAGAAACAGCAAGGCCATGCACTAGATTTTATCCTGGCCCAGATGAGAAACAGCTCAAGGCTTCTTCCAAACTCAGAGACCCACAGCAGCTCATCTTCCTTTTCCAATGCCAGCTAAGCTGGAAAGTATCAGATCCCAGAGACTAGTCCTGGCTGGCTAGTGCCTCTTGAAAGGACATTAGTTCTGGTTCCACAGACAATCTAAAAAGTCCTTCTTCATTATGTGGTTCTTGGACTGGAACCAGTTATAGAATATCTGCACATTCTTCAAAGTCCACATATGGACTGACTGCATTAGACTATACCACACACACACACACACACACACACACTCATATTCTATTCATTTCATTCACAGTAGTTATGTTCCTTGAAGTCACTGAAAACACTGAATTAGTGAATTCTGAACCATATGAAAAATACAGGGTTAGGTTCCTATGAGCTTTTGATTACATTAACTTTAGCACTTTCTGGAGGAGCCTCAAGTATAGAACAATGAATTTCCTCTTTCTTTTTCTGGAAGTATTGTTGTGTTGATTGATTAATGCTGAACTCACGGCCAATAGCACTGTAAGTCATCCCTGAACAAAGCTTATCTAGTGCACATGTTTTTTCCATAAGGCACATCACAGCTTTCTTGCATTTAGGATCACTAGATAGCACTTCAGCCTTGGGGCCATTTTAAATAGCAAAATTCCCAACATAAAACATCAAAATACAAAAAAGTGGCACCAAATAGTTCATGAAAAGGACACAAGGAGGCAGAGCATCACCTTGTTTGACCTTAGCCCAGACCGTGCCTGTCCAACAATCAAATTTTTTTTTTTTGGTTCTCTGCACGTATCTGCAAATCACTGAAAAAGCATGACAAGTATTGACTTTGGGGTTCCAAATAAATATTAGCAAGTAGGATAATTTGTAAATACTGAATCAGTGAAAAATGAGGATCGACAGTTTGTATGTGCGTGTATGTGTATTTTCAGCCCTAGTCTTTTCTAAGATCTAGCCTAGAATCACAAACAGCCTCGTGGATATTTCAAACTAGATGTTCTTTATGTATTTGAGACTCAAATGTCCATATGTGAACTAATTCTTTACCCAAATCCATTCCTATTTCAGTCAAGGGCACCGCAATCTTTTTAGTTACTCAAGTTTGCAACCTTGGAGCTAACCTGACTTCTCACTCTCCCTCAGTTTATATACCTAATCAGTTGGCAAAGCTTGCCATTTCTACCTTCATGACACTCTCACATCCTTCCCTTTTGGCTTACTCACATAATCACCATCATAATTCAGGCCCTCATCACCTGTCTCCTGGAGGATTGCAATATAGCCCTCTCACTGGTCTCCCTCCCACAAGTTTTTTCCCCTTGAATATATCCCGCACATAGCTGCTAAAGTGATTTTTCTAAAATATAGGCCTGATCGCGCAACAACCTTGCTCAAAAAATTTCAGTGTTTCCGTACTGCCTCTAGGCTCAAATATAAATTCCTCTAATTTTTAAAATCCTTCTCAACCTGGTCCTAACCTACTCTTTTAACCTTTTCATGCATCACTTCTCTTCTTCCAAACTGCTCTTCTTGTTATTTCTTATAGATAACATTCCATCTCCTGTCCATACCTTTGCATTGGCTTTCCTCCCATGACTGGAATACATCCTTCCTCATCTTTGGCCCTCAGGATCCCTTATTTCTTTTAAAATTTTGCTCAAGTACCTTCTTCATCGAGGCTTTTTTGATCCCCCTCTCCCCCACCAAATTCCCTCCTAACAAGATATTACCAGAGGTAGCAGATTTAAGGGATAATCTTTGTAGGTCATTCCTCAGCCTGTTACTTGACTTGTTCTTATGTTTAATCTTATTAACTCAAGCTCTAGAGAAATCTAGGGGCATATTTAGATATTTTCTTTTAATTAATATAATTTTAACCTCCTCATTAATTAATTAGTTTAATTCCATACCCCAGCTCATTAAATATTATTTATTCAGTAAACTTATTTTTATTTCTTCTACATAGTAAAATCCCTTAATCTCCTTTTACATAGATATTAAAATTGCTGAATATATAATTTATTAATATGTGAAATAAATAATAATTGTTTGTAATATTTTGGCCATGAGAAAGATCAATGTAGAAAATTTCTCTTCACTTCCACACACAAAATTTCACCATTCAGTTCACTTCAGATACTGATTAAAGTTTCCTAAAAAATCTCTTCATATTTCTTTTTGAGATAAGAGTCTCTCAGGAAATGTTATGTTAGTCTTTTTTTTCCCCTCCTCTCTTCAATCCTTATAAGAAAGTCTTTCCAGAATGTATTGTATCTGCCAATTCTTCACAGTTTTCACAGAATTCCCTTCATCATTTTTCTTTATAACATAGCAGTTAAGGAAATTCTCACAAGAGAGAAGTTTGAAACTCAATGTCTTATACCAGATAGGTCACTAGACTTAGAGTCATGAAGACCCAGGTTCAGAATTCAGCAGAGATACTAGCTGCATGACCTTGGGCAACAGAATTAACCTTTACCTGCCTCAGGTTCCTCATTTGTAAAATGACAGTTTGGATCAATAAAAACATCCTCTGCCTAAGCTCATAGAGAGAAGCTTCTTATGACAAAACATTGTCAGCTGTAACTCCAAATTGTTTTTCCCACAACATTCCATTTGGCTCTTAAAGATACCAGAACAGTATCTACACTCTCTGTGAGACAGCTTTGTGAAACAGTTGATACATAGAGGCTTATTTGGATAGATGCTGTGTCCTCCAGTAAAATATAAGCTCTGTGAGTACAGGTTTTATTTTTGTCTTTGTATACCCAGTGCCTAATAAAGTGCCTGGCACATAGTAAGCATTAAGTAGTGTTGGTAAACTCTTTACCAGGGAGCTGTCTATGCAGCTCATAGTTTGAAAGTAAACAATAGCATGACATTTAAGATCTTGCTCTCCTTCATGAAGTCTATATTCCAAGCAGACTGTATTCTAAAAGCTAGATTACAATCTAGCTGGGGAGGGGTCTCTGTGTGGAGGGGAAGGGGATCAGAGGTAGTGTGAAGGGAAGGGCTAGACAGTGGGAGGCTGGAATGTGTCCTGTGCTTGCCTAGGAAGGCCAGTTCTCGCCCCGCCCATCCCTCTTCAAGACGCCATCTTGGCGAGCCTGACCGTTGCTAGGAGACGAAGACGCTACCTGGATTCTCAGCGTCTGTGGGCTTGGGGTGGACAGGATCCTCGCGAAGCCCCAAACCAGCCTTTTCTGCCCCCACTCCCCGTCCCACGCTGGAATCCCAGCTGCTCCTATTTGGAGTGTCGCCCGTTGCTCCCTTCTTCTAGTCTTCCCGGGCACCTGACCCGGTCGCAGCTACAGCCATGCCGAGAAGGGGCAAAAAGGGCCCGAAGACCGAAGAGGAGAAGTTACTGATGCTTCAGCAGAAGATGATGGCGGAGGAGGAGCAGCTCAGGAAGAAGGAGAGGCTCCTGAATCAGTTCTTGAAGGTAAGAGGGCCCTCCCTCTAGCTCCTGTGACCCTGACCCACACCGGGAGCGCGGGGGTTTTGCCAGGTGTTGCTTTCCCTAGCAGACCTGGTTCCACGCACTTGCTCCCCCATCACTTGTAGCTGAGTTACAGTGTGTGGTTAGTACTGATTCTGGGGAGGCGCTCAATGCAAGGGAGAGAGCCCTGAATTTGGAGTCCTAAAAGCCTGGCTCTGCTCTGTGACCGAGCAAGGACGTTCTGGTCCTTGGTGGCTTCAGTTACAAGATGAAGGTGTTGAACTAGGTAGCTAGTTTAACTCTTGGGGAGAAGGGAGGGTTAAGTATGGGAATAAGTTATTATTTGTTAATGCAGATTCCAGCCTCACTACAAAACGAGGAGTCTGTGCTACCAAAGAAGTCCAGAAGTTCAGCTGATAAAAAGCTGAGGAATCCAGATTGTCTCTCCCCAAGATGGTCTATTAACAGTGTTTCGTTGCTTTTCCAACTGTCTGACTCTTCATGACCCCTTTCAGGGTTTTTTTCTAAGTTCGTTTTTTGTCAAAGATACTGGAGTGGTTTGCTATTTCCTTCTCCAGCTCATTTTACAGATGAGAAGACTGAGGCAAACAGAGTGACTAGCCCAGGGTTACACTGCTAGTAAGTGCCTGAGGCTAGATTTGAATTCAGGAAGATGAGTCTTCCTGATTCTAAGCCCTGTGCTCTATCCCTTTCTATCCTTCCCTAATTCCTCTAGCCTAAACAAAACCATTCTAAAGCTTTGCTTCTCCAAAACCAGAGGGCATTGAGTCTCTAAAGAAGGATACAAGGGTTCTTTTTTAAAAAATATATATATATATTTATATATATATATATTTATATAGATATTTATATATATTTATATATATTTATATATATATATATTTATATATATTTATATATATATTTATTTATATATATATAAGGGTTCTTATACATATAAGGGTTTATATATATATATATATGTATATAAGGGTTCTTGAAGATCATCTAGGTCAACATCCTTATTTCATATGTAACTCATGGCCTAGCCTCCAAACTCTGGGCACAACACAGGCTGACCCTAAAAGATCAATATCTCTTTGGCTCCTTGCCTTCACCCAAAGTTTACTCCCAGAAAATCTCCAAATATGCACATTATATTTCCACCCATGTGAGTAAAAGAAGTCCCTAGCTCCCAAGCTCTCAAGGTGACATGGATAGACAGTATAAAACAGCCTTTATTTCATTTCATAGAAACATGCAGAAGATGCAAAGGATTCCCAGTAACCCATGAACCATAAACACATAAAGCATTCCAAATAGTTCCCCTTGGGAGTAAATATCTTGGGGTTATCCTTAGTATAGTATTCCCACACAATCCTGTACAATCTCTCAAAGATGTATAGTGCTTCCTTTATGACTGGGCTTCCCCTGAAAAGCAAATTCACTTTGTGGCTGCTGAATGAGCAACACCTTTTCTTTTGGACCTACACTGCTCAAATAATTCACTGTATAACATCAGAAATAGCAGAATCCTCTGTCTTCTACACTAGAAGTTAAAGTTAAGAAAAATTGTTCATGAACTCCCCAATTATCAAATGACATATTTGTGAAGCACTTAGCACAGTGCCTGGCACATTGTAGGCCCTTAATAAATGCTTGTTCTCTTCCTTCCTTCCCCCTCCCTGCCCCCATCTCTCTTTTTCTATTCAGTATGTCAAGGTTCAGGAACATTTTCTATGAACTCTGCTTTGGTTCATATGGGCAGTATAAGTCTGCTTTTGCCATGTACTTCTTTTTTTCCTCCACTTAATAGTATTTTATTTTTTCCAATTACATATAAAGATACTTTTCAACATTCACTTTTATAGGATTTTGAGTTCCAAATTTCTCTCTCCCCTCTCCTCAAGATGGCAAGCAATCTGATATGTTGCCATGTACTTCTGCAATAATTCTATCATTGTCCCAGATGTTACCATCTCTTGGGCTGGGAAAAGTCAGAAACACTTCTCTCCTGTTGAGTGGATTAGAAAGCTGTGGGTGAACACATGCAAAAGAGACGAGTAGGTCTGACATCTCACTTTTATAGGCCAGCAGAGAGGGGGCAGCTCTGTGGATAAAGTACCTCTTCCTCAGAGTCCTAACTAACCAGATCATCTTAAAAATAGCCCTAATCACTGGAGACCAATTAGGATACAACCAGTGTTCTCTCAACAAGGTGCCACTGGACGTGGTCACACTGTTCATGGGGAGATGTCCAACAGATACTCATGACCTGATAATCAAATTCATTGGGGACCTCTCCCCAATCAATCCAGCTTATAGTTAGATCTCATTTTTCACTTGGCTGCACTACTTTGGGAATTTTCTGAATTCTCCACCATGACACCTTGTCAGGTACCTTCCCCCTACATCCATCTTTTCAGCTTCTTTTTGTGTTTTGCCTTTCCTTCATTAAAATGTAAGCTTCTTGAGGGCAGGGACTTTTTTTTTTTTGTATTTGTGTCCCCAGCTCTGAGTATAGTGCCTGGCACAGAGTAAGTGCTTCATAAATGTTTGTTGACTGTTGACAACTAGATTAAGGAAACTGAGACCTAGAGAACTGAAGTTTCTGGCTCAAATGCCACAGGTCAGTTAAGCTTCAGGCTTCACCTTTGTTCTCTGGCTTAAACTGTTATCAGGTAGGCCCCATCCCACAGAAGTATTTCAGTGATGAACAAGAACCCCTAAAACCGTAGCAAGTAAGTATAAGCCTATATGCCAAGTCAGAGTTTTGTGCTTTTCTACCTAGGACACGGTGAGATGTGCCTACATTGGATACCGTCTTTGTTTCCCCCTCACAGGACAAACTGGCTAAGGAGGAGCGAAATAGTACCTTGAACCTTAATAAAATCAACACCCAGTGGAGAGTCATTCTGAGGGAAGTCAAGGCCAAAGAGCTTCGGAAAGATATCGAGATCCTTAGCCAAACATTTGAAAGGGTGGTGGATTGCAAAGACAGTGTGATCAAAGTAAGTGCTGTTTCTGAGTATGTTATAGTTTTCTTTTTTTTTTTGTCTTTTGTTTTATTGGGGAGACTACTTTTCTTCATCTCATTTAGGCTAGAAGTTCATCATCCAATCGTGGGCCTAAATCTGGTATTAATTGGGGTGGAAACTTTTGAGGTGGAAGTTAGGGATGGGCCAGCTTGAAAAGGGCTTTAAAAACCAAATAGTGGATTTTATATTTGATATAAAATATAGTATATATTATGCATATAATATACAAAATATATTATAAAATATAAATATAAAAATATATATTTTTGGAGGTAATAGGGAGCCATTGGAATTTACTGAGTAGGGTGGGGATGGGGTGATATGGCCAGACATGATTTAAGAAAATCACTCTGGCAGATAACTGGGGAATAGATTGGATTGGGGAAAGACTAGATGCCAGAAGGGTATTACAGCAATCCATGTGGAAGAGGTAATAAGAACCCTTGTAGAGGGGTGGTGGAGAGAAGGAGAAATAACTGAGAGATGTTAAAAAGATAAGAATTGGCAACAGATTGAATATATGGGGTAAGTGTGAGTAAGAAGTTAGGTATGATACAAAGATTGTGAGTCTCAGTGACTGTAAGGATGGCAGTGCCTTTGACAGTAATATAAAAGTTGAGAAGGGGAAAAGCTAATTAAGTTATATTTTGGACATGTTTAGTTTGAGATACTTGTCAGACTTCCTATTTGAGATGTCCAAAAGGCAATTGTTGATATGGGACTCAGGAGAAAGAGGAGAGCTAGATATATAGATCTTGGAATATTCTTCATAAACAAGATCAGAGCTTATGAGATCAAGGGAAATAGCATAGAGAGAAAAAGAGGAAAGGGACCTAATGAGGGGGTTGGTTATACCACATGGCTTCTGAGGTCATGTCTAATTCTCATTTTAGGGATATATGAATGATCCTTATGACATCCTATGATCCTGAAGTTAAGGCATTCTTTGTGAGTAAGATTCTGAGTTGCTCAGCAAAGCTACCAGGCATCTTTACACTCATGGAGTAGAATCATTATTGGAAAGTTTCAGAGAATCCCCACTGACACCAAATCTACCAGGCAAAGATATTGCTTGGGATCTGTATCACAATGGGTCAGTAGACTTTGTTAGAGTTTCCTTGGATGCCACAAGAATGGGTAAGAAAAGCTGGAAACCAATCAATCAACAAGCATTTATTAAGCACCTGCTATTTTCCATGTAGGCACTGTACTAGGGGCTAGGTATACAAATGCAAAGAATGAAATAATCCCTGCATGCAGATGAGTTAGGTGCATCTATAAATATATGCAGAATGAAAACAGAGAATAAATATGAATAAATGGGAAGTAGTTGAATATAATGTAATTTGGGAGGGAGAACATTAGGAGCCAGGGGATCAGGAAAGGCACCACGTAGGAAGTTGATGTCTTGAAGGAAAATATCTGGCTTTTTTACCCCCACTGAAATTGCTCTTTCCAAATTTACCAGTGATCTCTTAATTGCCAAATCTGATGGTTTTCTCAGTACTAAATACTAAGTAGTATATGATTTATTAATTTTATATTTATGCTGCTCATATTTTTATATGTACTTATTTCCTCCTCCCATTAGAATGTGAGCTCATCATGAGTAGGTATTGTTTCAATAATTGTAGTTGTATCCTCAAGGCCAGCCCAGTATACGTTGTACATAACTAGTACATAGGAGGCACTTAATAAATGCTTGTTGATTGGCAGACTGATGAGAGGGAGATAAAGAGAAAGTGGATTTCAGGCATAGGGGAGAGTCAATGCAAAGGCTTGAAGATAGGAGAAGGAATATTGTATGTGAGCAACAAAGAAAAGCCCACTTTGGTTGGATCATAGAGTTCAGGAGGGGACAAATGGACATTGACTCTGGAGAGATAGAATAGGGTTTATATTTTATCCCAGAGGCAATAGGGAGCCACTTAAATTTATCGAGTAGTGGAGTGACACAGTCAGATTTGCGCTTAAGGAAAATCTGGAGATCTTATGAGATCTTATGAGACCAAGGGAAATAGCATAGAGGGAAAAAGAGAAAAGGGACCAGGATGAAGCCTCAAACCCACATTTAGTCAAATGACATGGATGAAGAACCAGCAAAAGAGGCTAAGAAGGAGCTGTCATATACGTATGAGAAGAACTAGAAGGAGAGGGTGACCAATAGAAGGATGAGTATTTAGAAAAGACCATTAGATTTGGCAATTACGGGATCATTGGTAACTTTGGAGAGAGCAATTTCTTTTGAAGGATGAGGTCAGAAAAGCCAGATTGCAGAAGGTTTAGAAAATAAGTGAAAGAAGAGGAAGTGAATATTCCCTAGTGTAGACAGCTTTCTCAAGGTGTTTGGCTGAGAAGGGCAAGTGAAAGACAGAACAAGAGCTAGTGACATGCTCTTGTTTGTAGCCAGCATGGAAGGAGCCAGGATGTGTAGGGTGGACTGAAATACAAGGCAGGGAGTACAACTAAGATACTGTAGCAATAATCTAGCAACAGATGAGGAGAGGCTCAACTAAAGTCATACGTTGTGAGTAGGGAGAAAAGGAGAAATACAAGAGATGTTGTGGAAATAGAACAGCGAGGTTAGAAAGCTGGGAGAGTAGCAGGGGGTGGTTCCTGTGACAGAAATAAGTAAGAGGATGGGTACATGGAAACACACGATCAATTATGTTTTGAACATTTTGAGTTTGAAATGTCTCTGGGACATCCAGTCTGAAATGTTCAACAGGAATTGGTGGTATGGGACTGAAGCCCAGAGGAGAGATATATGTCACATACTGTCATCTCT